GGCGTCGGGAGTCATACCAGAGCCCATTCTCAATGTGGTGGCCAACAGCACCTCCAAGAAAAGTGGAGAAGCCCCACTGCAGGACAGGCAACCCCAAGCCCTTGACGATAAGGGTTTAAGCTATGCCGCAGCACTCAAGACCGATCCTCAAAAAAATATCGAAAGACCACCTAACAACAACTCTGCAACAACGTCTAATAAGCCAAAACCCGGTGTCACCATTCCGACGGGCACTGAAAAGTCGACATGCAACGGAGCATCTATCAAAAAATCTGAACACTCAACGGGAGTCACCAATATGGAACCAACATCAACGGCTGACTCTTCAAAAAGATTACCCCGAGATGCTCCGGAAAAACCTACGGCAAATTGGATAAAATTATTCAGAATAGCAGCAGAAATGGCGTGCGCTTATCTTGATGGCATTGATGCCTCGTGGGCACACATTCTAAGCGGTTTCATTCAGGCAGCGTTCCCACTGCTGAATATAGCATAATGCTGCATCCCAACGTCCAGCCAAAAAGACGCACCCGAAATATTGCATGTCCAACAGTGCTTCAATGGAATACTAACGGCATACAACAACGCCTCTCAGATCTACGCCTACATTTAAAGACCAACCGATACGACGTCCTAGCCCTTCAAGAAACTCGTATAAAATACGGCAAATTCAGACTTTCTCCATACGTCGTTTATCAGGGCCTACTGCCAGTTACTGAAAACACGAAGAACGAAGTGCCGAAAGCCACGATACTTGTCCGAAGAGAACTGGATCAGCGTCAAATAGATTTGACAGACTTATGTGACGATGCTGCTGAGTTCACCGGTGTAACGATACGTAAAGGGGACTGTGACACCACCATAGTTTCTGCGTACGTCCGTCCGGGAACCAAATGGGACCCTACGATTATGATGAAGATTATGCCGCGCTGCTCAGAAAACGTACTATTTTTGGGAGACTTTAACGCCCATAATCACACCTGGGGAGATAAGCACACAACGACGCGCGGATCTGCTCTTGAGGCCACAGTGGACACGCTGGGGCTTGTTCCACTGAATGATGGAACCGCAACATTTGTCAGACCGGGGGTCTCCAACAGTGTCCTTGACCTCAGCTTCGCTACATCACAACTCAGCGCGCGATGGCAACCTCAACATGACAGCTGGGGTAGTGATCATATCCCTATCATTATCTCCTCCCCAAGCTCTACAAGCGCTACACATAGGACCTGCAGAGTCGTCAATTGGGACCAATATCGCTCGCACCTCCAAGACCTTCTCTCTGAAGGAAACGTCGACCTTACAACGGCTATTTCACAAGCCCTATATGACGCCACGAGGCTGGTCCAGGTCCCGGTCTCCCGCCCGAATCCTGACCTCCTCTACCTCAAGCTGAGGGCCCGCCGACGGCAAGCCCAAAATCGTTCGCTACGTACAAGAAGAATGGAGGACATTCAGCGCTATAGAAGAATCGACGCAGCGTTCTGCCGCCATACTAACCGACTTCAGCGAAAACAGTGGCGACAAAAATGTGAATCTCTTGGTGCTCCCGGTGGCGCAAGACAGGCTTGGAGGATGGCACGTACTCTCGCATCGGAGGTAGTTCCTCGGCTTCAGATCTCAGCGTTTGCTATATCGCAAAATATTACATTAGCACGAACTGCCGAGCTTTTGGCCGATCAATTCTCCCGTCCAATCTCTCCCCCTTCAGGCTTTCAAATTAGCTCATCAGTGAGCCCCCTTTATCAACTGCCCAACATAGACTCCGACTTCACGCTTAAAGAACTGCAGCACGCACTTAGAAGATCCACCCGTCGTAGAAGCACTCCAGGGCCGGACGGGATAACGTACCAGGCTTTAAACAACATAGACCCCGTCATGCTGCCTAAACTACTGGAGGAGCTAAACTCAGTCTGGAGCACGGCGGCACTGCCGGATGCCTGGCTCAACTCCGAAGTCATACCAATCCACAAACCAGGCAAACCGGTGGAAGATTTGTCATCATACCGACCAATTTCACTCACCTCCTGCCTTGAAAAAGTTCTCGAACGCATGATACTTAGAATACTAGACTGGGCACTAGAAACAGTTGGCGCGATCCCTGAACAACTCTCTGGTTTCCGCCGTCGACGTTGCACGGCAGATGCTATTGGGGATCTGGTCTCAGCGTTGGAGGAAGCCAAACAAGCTAATCACGGTTACGCCGTCATTTTCCTTGATATTACCAAAGCATTTGATGCGATTCTTCACGCTACTGTCATTAACCAGCTTCAAGTCCTTGGCGTCACGGGACCTACTTTGGCATTTATCAAGGCCTTCCTCACTGGCCGGACTATGAAAGTTCGCATCGGAAACAATCGCAGCACAATCAGACACATAACTCAAGGAGTTCCTCAAGGAAGCGTACTAAGCCCGCTTCTCTTTAACGTTGCAATGGCCGCTCTTCCCCGAACTCTCGCCCGTGATGACCGAGCTCCAAGAATTCAAATATACGCGGACGATGTGGCCCTTCGGGCCACGTCACCAACAGCCATGCATGCTAAAATGCAACGTCGTTTACAGCTGACTCTTGACGGTATTTCAAAGGAAATTACTCGACTGGTTTTAACTATCTCGCCATCTAAAACCGCGGTACTTGCTCACCATCCACGAGGCTTTAAGGCTAGCTCTTTCACGTACTCTGTAAACGGCACTCCCATAACACGGATGCGCAACCACATGTACCTAGGACTGGTTATTGATGACTGCCTTTCCTGGCGTCCAGCCGTGAAACAAACAATATCTCGGTGCGATCTCCACCTCAACGTACTTCGCAGGATCCGAGGACAAACCTGGGGAACCTCGCAATCTATGACTTTGCAAATGTATAGGGGACTGATACAATCCAGGTTGCTCTATGCGCTCCCACTTGTATTCGTACGGGACGCTCAGCTCACGAAGATGGAGATCATTCAAGGGAAAGCCCTCAGAATCTGCCTCGGTCTTCCCCCGTCTGCGCCGATCATCCCTACTTTGGTCGAAGCTAGACAAAACACAATAGTCAATCTAGCGTTCCGTCAGGCACAACGACATCTGGCCCGGCAGACCCTCACAAGGTCTACTTCCAACCTCTTACAACGCTTCGATAGACGTCCCAATTCCCGCCTAGGAAAAGTCTACGCAGAGTTTAAGGAGTCGGTCGGTACATTGGATGAAGACCCTCCTCCACCACCCCCTCATACAACTGTGTTTCTGAATATATGAGAAGAAATTCCCCAACTACGCAGCAAAAAGTTGGTCTCGGATGTGGTTTCCCGTAATCTTGCGGAAGAACACGTCGACAGCTTTTTCGACGGTTGGATAAAAGTTTTCACCGATGGCTCAGTCTGTCATCAAAAAAAATCCTCAACTGCTGCTGTAGTTATCCCTGAACTCTCCATTATCAAGTCCGGTCGCCTCGACTTCCACACATCATCCACCATCGCAGAATTAAAAGCACTAGAATTTGCTCTCGATACCCTCCACGACTTTCAGAGCCCAGAAAAGGCGGCTTTGCTTACAGATTCCAGAGCGGCACTTCAAATCCTCACCAATCTGGAAGACGCACCTCCGATTGCCCGCATCATCGCTTTCAAAGTCGAATCCTTAGAAAAGAAAGGCTGGACTATAGCATTCCAGTGGTTGCCATCTCACTGTGGGATCGACGGCAACGAAAGGGCCGACCAAATCGCAGCTGAGGCACATGAACTGACCAACAGCACTCTCCACGTGCCGAAGATCAACGAGGCCAGGCTTCTCATCGCACGTGAGACGCAAAAAAGACACCCGGACGTGGGCGTAGCTGGAGGAACCCCACCATCACCGGTCCCCACCAAACTCGGCCGCCCAGAAGCAGCCCTTCTTCACCGACTGAGAACACGTTCAGCTTTTACGGCTTCTTGGCTTTACCGCATCAAACGCGTGGACAGCCCACACTGTCAGACATGCCAAGTTCCCGAGGATATAGAACATCTCCTTTGCGACTGCCCAATCTTAGACGCTCAGCGTTCTAGACTCCACCTTGAACTTCGTCAAATAGGCGCAGCAAGGCAGAACCTTTCGCACCTGCTTTTCCCGCCAGGTCCCAGGCGCATCGCTACGAAAACATTCGCGCTGCTTCTGACATTCCTGGAAGACACCGGCTTGGCTGACCATCTTTAATGCTTGGTGTTCCTTCCAGTTTCCAGTACGGCGGGCCCGGCTTGGCGCAAGGTCTGTGACTGTGACGGGTAACATGACCTTCTGCCATTGAGGTGGCAGACCTGACAGTGCTGGACTAGACACCACTTAATATCTTTTGATCAGTGTGTGTCTTGTTTGAACCTTCCTTCCCTTTCTTACTTCTCTCTCTCTCTCTTTCCCTTTTCTTTTGTTGCTCAGACCGGGACTGGCAGGCCCCCATTAGAAGGAGTGGCCACACTGTTCCGGTCTTCCTTCCCCCTCCCCTTTCTTGGTTTTAAAATAAATTTCAACGCTTACACACACACACACAACTTCCTTCCTCCGAAAGCCGAAAGATCTTGTCGCCAGTAGTAGAGTGAAATATAATACATTATATTCTAGTTGACTGCACCAATAGGAAGATTCACTTCCGGTCGCCTCATTGAGGAAGAACGAGAGAGACGCTTCGCAGCAGCCCTGAATGGGCGCCGCCATAAACGCCCTTCAGCTTATGTTTTCCCTTCTTCCATTTGCTTCACTTCATTGTTACCATAGCGGGCCAGGTTATTGGCATTATAGATTCTACCCTGTCCTTCTCCCAGCATTAGCATTTGTGGAGGCTCGTAACCGCCTGTTTCATTGGCTCAATATATCGGTAAAACAAGAGGTCAGCAATGGCGGATATAATTTGGCGCGCGTGCAAAGTGTCCATACTGGCTCGAGTTCGAGCGCCAGAAGCATGCCAGGGAACGAGCGTCACGATCATTTTGAGATCGCGTGTTGTTCATTCGACTCTACGCTTTGCCCAGAGGCGTCTCAGGATGAAGGCCTCTTTTCTTCTGACCCGAGCCCGCACCGCCAGCGCCCCAACTGCCCCATTGGACGCAGCGCTTATTTTAGGACATGACACTTTCCAACAACTGGAACTTCTGTGTGCCACGCTTTCCATCTTCATCACAGTAAGCGACAGTCTCGTTACCGTGGTATTAAAGCGGCCCATGGAACACTGGTGCAGGCCACCGTCGGAGCTAGCTTACATGCCGACCGACGTCTGGAAAAATCAGAGCATCCCCGTGAAACCGGACGGCACGTTCAGCAAATGCACGCGCTACAAGCCTCCACTGGACACGGGAAATGCGATGGAGAACCAAACCGTGGTCCTTTGCGACGAGTTGGACTACGCTCTGGTGACCACGGGGAAATCCATCGTCAGCGAGTGCAACCTGGTTTGCCACAGACACCGGCTCCTTTTGCTCCGTTGGCTTGTATACTTCGGAGGAGCCGTCGCCGGGAGCGTGATCGGGTACTTTAGGGACAGCTTTGGCCGCAAATCAGTTTTCGTGGTCGCGCTGTTACTGCTAGTCGCCTCTGGCACGGCCAGAATCTGCTCCAACACGGTGCTCACGTTTATCATCTTGCGCTTTCTGACATCGGTGACATCCTTGACCCTTATGAACATGGCGTCAGTTCTACTGTTCGAAGTGACGGAGACAACGCGTCGCGTCGTTTTCTGCGCCTTTGCCTCCTCGTGCACATCCGCGGCGCTGACATTGTTCTATCTCCTCTTACTGGCGGTAGGTGGGCACTGGAGGGTGATTCAAGCGATACTTATGCTGCCGACAAGCTTCCTGCTGTTCGCTTCCTACGCCATTGAAGAGTCTCCTTGTTGGCTGCTGGGTTTGGGCGACATCCAAGGCACCGAGCACGCAGTGCTCTCGGCTGCCAAGGTAAACCGCAACCCCCTAGACGACGTGAAGGCCAAGATAAATAACGTCAAGTACGAGATGTCCCGGAGGGGCAACACGCAAACGAACGTTCAACAACCGAGCCCCTTAGACCTTGTCCTGAACAGCTCTCTGCATTTCCGATCCGTCACCATTTTTTCGAGTGCATTCATGACGCTCCTTCACTACTACGACACAAAGTTTAACAAGACCTTGGTAGATAACCGGACGGTGCACATAACCCTAATAGTTGCGCGGGTACTTGTCTCGATAGCTTTCTTGTATATCGTGCACTATGAGCCGGCGCAAGATACTTTGTGTCTCCATGTTACAAATGTCGGTCGTGCTAGGCTTTCAGACTTGGCTGGATTGGCAAAAGGACGATAGCATCCAGCCCACTGTCACAATTATCATTAAGGGAATTGTTCTGGAAGTGATTTCAATGACGATGTTTGTGTATTTGTTGGAGATATTCCCCACTGTGCTACGAGCCACGAGCTTTTGCTTGTGCACCATGTTCGGTAGGAGCGGAGGCGTGCTATTGTTCTTGATCAGGGGGCCCAACCCGTCAATTAATCGAGCTCTCGCCATGGCGGTAAGTGCGGTGATGCTCACTTTGATCGGTTTAGCTTTTCTTGCTTTACCCGAAACGAGGAAGGTAATGGCCACCAACACCATTCGCGAGACAGAACTTGAGGAGATGTGGCAAGTGCCTGCCAGTGGCAAGTGCCAGAGAAAACTTTATGCGTTTCTGAAGTATTGCTTCGCGTCCAGATGCTTCTAAGAAGTGCTAGACGCATTTTGTTTTAGAAGCGCCGCTTTTCATGATGTGGCGTTTTATAAAAGAAAAACATGCAATCTGTCAATGGCGTCACCGTCTATACGCGTCTCCCCTGAATCCGCAAGTGCGCTCCTCATGCGTCCTAGAAAGGAAGGTGTTCGCTTCAGACACAATGACAAAAGTCCCTGCATACACGCCACAAAAATGTTTGAAAAAGTTTTTTTTTTTATATATGCGAATGCTTCGAACACGTCTGTAGCGGGGGTTTCCCCAGGAACTTGGGAAACCCCTGCTACAGGGGGGGGGGTGAGGATAGAGGAATTGTTGCGAATTAAGAGGTTGCCTCCAGAAAAACAAGGGGGGTGTACACCCCCTATGGGGTATGTAGAGAAATCACTGTTCTGTACACAGTTTCAATGGGAAAGCATTATCATGGGACGGAGCCAATGGCGTTTGTAACCGCAAAAAAAAAAAAAAAACGCAAAAGAAATGTTTATTCTCCCTTCACCACCACAGCACTCGCGCACCGAAACCAAGCGGCGCCTGTCCACCCGGCTGCCTGAGTGCACGACCTCCTTCCCTAGGGGATACCCGCGGGTGGCCGAGGTCCGCCTATGCCGAATCACAACCGGCTGTGCATGGACACCCTATCGCCTGGCCCGCTTCGGGCTACGTTCGCCAGAACATGCAATATGCGACCGGTGTATTTCGACCCCTACATCGCCACCTCAAGCCGGTCAAACCGCCGGGCTAATCCTCGATACTTCCATAACACCCAGTCCTCAGCGCATCTCGACACCCTGCGCCTGCTCTAGGAGTGCCCGGCAAGGCGAAAGGAGAGGGACATAGCACTCGCGGAGCTCGGTCCACCACCACAAATGACGTTCGAGGCCTGGACGGCACCGATAGGCCCCACAGACGTCAAGAGGCGGGTCTTCAACTCACTCTTGGCTTACGTGAGGACGGCCGGTCTGGCCGGCCTTCTGTAAGCCCTCTCGCACTCCCATTCCTGCATCCTTATACCCTTCCCCTTCGCGACAAGGCATGAAACCGGTCGCATCGTACCCCCTCCTAAATATGAATAAAACACATCCAACTAGCATACAACATGCCTTCATCCTATGGTCGCCGATGGGTCGAAGCGGCGGGTGCTTCGTTCCGTCGCCCTGATTGTGGCGGGGGCGCTCGTGCCCCTGCACTCTTAGAAAAAAGGGTATGGATAGTCCTCCCTTAAGGGAGGAGCGGTCTTGCAACCTATGTTCCTTTAGAAAGGAAGAAACTTTCGTCCCTGAAGCAGGGGAGCAAAGTTCCTCCGTCGCTTGCATCTCAATATGGCGTCCCCGAATTGAGCAAATCGAGCCCAATAAGGCTTGACGAGGACGCTACGTCTCTTGTACGGGACGAGAGCAGCAGCAAATAAAAGCGTAACACGAGCTTCCCGCAAACTGTGTTTATTTCCGAAGCCAGATTTCCCCCACCGGTACAGAAACTTGCGTTTCGAAAGCAGTTACTCAGTCTTCTCGTCGACAGCACTGCGATGTTAAACGGAGACAACCGATACCCAGTTACTTTGCGCACTTTTACCCGTGTCCCACTAGAGCGACATACAGAAACAAAAGACAAAGACAAGTCTCAAACCACAGTCTTTCGCGATTTGAGACGCTTTGTAGAGTAACGGAGGCTATGCTCAAACACGAGCATCATGCACGTGACGGTATCCTTGGCAGGCTTGCAATCGCTCGTGCTTACTTCGCGAGCATCGAACGACTAAACGCCTGCCAAGGTACCATCACGAGCATACTGCATGGGTTTGAGGCTTGTCGCTGTCTTTTGTCTCTGCCTGTCGCTCTAGTGGGACGCGGGCATTTGCGTCTTACCTTTGGTGTTCCTCGAGTCACAATTCCTTCGTCAACCGCACATCACGGAGAAGGGCAGACTCAATCCGCGAAACCAAAAGCCGCTCTCGAAAGAACAAACTCGAAGCCTCTGTTTATCGCGTAGCGTGAAAGAAGGTTAAACCGCTAGCCACCAGATGGCAGGGTCAAGCAGAGTAATTGCAAGTAGCTAGGCTAGGTGGCGCTAGGTGCCGCCTAATTCATGTTCTACAAAAAATAATTTGCTTCTCTCAGGCCACTACTCCGCTTGGGGATCCCACTATACACACATTACGCTTATTACAAGCATCAGGTGAACAGACATTGAGCACATACATGGCGCACACAAATATCAATACAACGGAACACCACACCAACCCGAACACTACACCCATAGTCTGCGTTTCCGTCTTTTATACTGGTCGTTTTGAACGTACGGAACTTTTCGGTGACAACCTAAGCAATAAAAAATATTCCCAGCATGTTGATTTTTTCCCGGCAATGTCATACCTCTGAGAGTATTTTGAATGGCTCAGGGGATGAATCTCTTATTAAAAAGTAAACGCTCAATCATGCCGTAATTACTTGAAAGCCAATAAATCAAGCCGCTCCAATGCGGTTCGAAGCCATGAGTTTGTTTCCCTACACGGCACGTCGTAGCCTGTATTTCTATTGGTTTTTCTATTTACGCTGTTCGCGCAAAGCTGCAATTGCCGTCTTGAATTAATCTCTGTAGAGCGGATATTCACTCAGCTGGAAGTTATGCTTCACGGGCTGAGAAATCGCTTTTCGATCAACTTGAATGCAGTCAAAGCCGCGACTTGCGGCAGGTATAGAGCTACGCCGTGGCCAGCCCGAAAACTTCTAGCGCTCATCCCAGCGCGCCACTTGGAGGGCAGTTCCTTTAGGAACCGTAGTATATTTAAACAGCAAAATAAAGGGTAGCTTTTTTTTCGATTTTACCTACTAGTTTTTTAAGGCCGAAATTCCATACTGTAAATATACGTACTTTCCGTCACGATTTTGTACTGTTCAGTCCTTGCCCCAGAGCGCAATCGCTCTTGGGGACTAGACAATTCCGACAGTCATATTGGGCACTGTACGATAGGAGCTTCTACTGTTCAGACCAGCGTTCGAACATGACTATCCGCACGTTGATCGATTGCACGTAATCCCTCAAGTGGTATTAAACTTTTTAATATAAAGCGGAATGTCAACCTGTGACACCCCACCCCCTCCGATCACGGCCCGACCAGCGGCATCAATGCCCAACAGTTTACGATCTCATCTTCTTGTTACACCACTGATACGCGAACGCACGGTCACATCGGCGATAATTCCAGTCTTCTGTTCACAACCCACAACACTGCCATCACGATGTTGCAGCTATGTTGCTGACACGCACAAATACAGAACCACGTTGAACGCCGGTTGCACTCGGCATCGGAAAACAGAACCGAACTCAGAACCGAAGGCACCCAGGCAGCCGGCAGCAAAACCTGCCTGTCTTGGACGTAGTCCCTTCGGTTTCCATAACGTCGAAAACGTCGACACAGTTCCACGTGGTTTCGCTACTGCAGTTCCGTGCCGCGCGAGTCCCGCAATCCGGAGACGGCCATCCCCCGGTGTTCGGGGCGCTGCTGGCACTGCTCCGGAACTTCGCTATTTCTAGAGGCTTCGTTTGCGTTTGATAAAATTGGTGATAAAAACGTCAATGCAACCGAAATGTTCTGCACGTTTAGACTAGAAGACGGAATTACAGGCGGCCTTCGCTGCCGCTGAAGCTTAATCACCTCAACAGCTATTTATTAAACAACGTGCGCGAACTGCTCGAAAATCGAAACCGAAAGATGAGTCGGGAGGGCGAAAGCTTTCTCCCGTCTGCCTGGAGAAGTTGAAAAACGTTTCGTTCCTCCCCTTTTCTCGTATCCGCTTGGGGGCGCGTCAGTAGAACGGAAGAAGACGCGCCGTTGCTACTTTTTTCCTCCATTTTTTTCTTAGAGTGTGTGGCGCTTCGGCTTCATGAAGTCAGCGCCCAGCAGGGGAGCGCGTGCTCAATACCACCTAGAAAACAAGGCCTGCGCGTTTCCTCCTCTAAACGTCATCACTAGTAGATCCCCTCAGCGCCCCCTAGCTACCCCGGACGAGCAACATCGTCTGCTACGTCGTCTGATCCATCGCCTGCTTCAGTGGTTTGTGTAACAGATAATGAGACAGATGCTCACGCCGAGTGTCTCTTGCAAATAGCATACGATGAAGTTAGACGTTTACGTGGAGCGTCAAATGCATGAGCGAAATAGACCCTTTCCGAAATTCACTCTGGCCACTGTGATCACTATCATCATCATCTGAAAAATGGCATATGTGCCATACCAATGGCGGCTTTCTAATTACTGATGAAGGAACACGTTGACGATACTCCTAAGCTGAGGATTCGAGGCCTATATATCCGAGACGTTAGCACGTTGCGAAACCGGAATTGAATGCAAGCGCTGCGTAAGTGTTCATTTCTCTAATTCGAGCCCAGTGAACCTGTTAGTGGCACAAAATCGACTTCGAAACCCCTTGACTTATACAACTTTATCAAGGCGTCTGTCTGGGTTGGCGCTTCGTTCTGACTGGTTACATCGTTGTGGGAATCGACACTGGAAGAGATGGTCCAGAAAAACCTGTATAGCGAAAAGTTTATTCTCGTCTGCCATTGACATGCAAAAGTGACGGTGCCCGATAAA